TCCCATTCTCCCTACCTCCCATACTCTCTCCTTCCCATCCTCCCAATCACAAATTCCCAACTTCAAACAGACAATCTATTTTATGAATACAAATTTCATCTCTGTTTTCCCTTTTGTTTATTTTTCGTCTAGCTACAGTGGAGACGGTTATAGTGACTGCAGCGTTGGTCTAGCTACAGTGGTGACGGTTATAGTGACCGCAACGTTGGTCTAGCTACAGTGGAGACGGTTATAGTGACCGCAGCGTTGGTCTAGCTACAGTGGAGACGGTTATAGTGACTGCAGCGTTGGTCTAGCTACAGTGGAGACGGTTATAGTGACTGCAGCGTTGGTCTAGCTACAGTGGAGACGGTTATAGTGACTGCAGCGTTGGTCTAGCTACAGTGGTGACGGTTATAGTGACTGCAGCGTTGGTCTAGCTACAGTGGAGACGGTTATAGTGACTGCAGCGTTGGTCTAGCTACAGTGGCGACGGTTATAGTGACTGCAGCGTTGGTCTAGCTACAGTGGTGACGGTTATAGTGACCGCAACGTTGGTCTAGCTACAGTGGAGACGGTTATAGTGACTGCAGCGTTGGTCTAGCTACAGTGGTGACGGTTATAGTGACCGCAACGTTGGTCTAGCTACAGTGGAGACGGTTATAGTGACTGCAGCGTTGGTCTAGCTACAGTGGTGACGGTTATAGTGACCGCAACGTTGGTCTAGCTACAGTGGAGACGGTTATAGTGACCGCAGCGTTGGTCTAGCTACAGTGGAGACGGTTATAGTGACTGCAGCGTTGGTCTAGCTACAGTGGTGACGGTTATAGTGACCGCAGCGTTGGTCTAGCTACAGTGGAGACGGTTATAGTGACTGCAGCGTTGGTCTAGTTACAGTGGAGACGGTTATAGTGACTGTAGCGTTGGTCTAGCTACAGTGGAGACGGTTATAGTGACTGCAGCGTTGGTCTAGCTACAGTGGAGACGGTTATAGTGACTGCAGCGTTGGTCTAGTTACAGTGGTGACGTTTAAGGTGACGAGTGTTGAAGAGACGCCGGGAGTATAGGAACCCATGACTATAATATATGTGAGGTCACTCCTGGCTTCATGCCTCTGCCAGATTAATTTTTTTTGCTATATACTTCCTCTCTTTTAATCTTACAATATCACTTTATACTGCAACTCTTCACCTCTTGCTTGCCCGACTCATCACTCTTACAGCTTATATTGTGGTGGTGGTGATTTTTCTGCTCCCAGTGCGGCCTCCAAACACGGGGAGAAGTGGAAATAATATCGCGCCGTTGATGACGTCTAGGTCCTCAACAATGTAGGCTACGCCTGCCTCTGTAGCAGGTCGAGCGATCGTGACGAGGCTACGCCTGCCTCGGTAGCAGGTCGAGCGATCGTGACGAGGCTTCATGCTTGGAAGCAGCATGGCGGCTAATGTTAAATTTATGCTATAGGATGTAGGCTGGCCGATTACATTCATGTATGAGAATGGCTTGAAAAGGCCTGGACAACCTGGTTCTTTAATGCTCATAACATGTAAATGTTGCCTCAAGATTTACATACTACTTGTACACTATTTTGCAAGTAATAAAATGTCTTGAGGTGCCTCAAAGTCCTTGAATTTAATCACTTCTGAATATGTGCGAGCTTTATGTGAAGCTAGTGTCAAGTGTCAAGTGTCAAGTGTCATGTGTCATGTGTCATGTGTCAGTCGTTTAAGTTGTTTATGCTGTAAGAACTTCATTCTGTTGCACACATGCAAATAGTAAGGTTCTTTTTTATTTAATCTCGAACGTTTTACATTAAGTTGAACGTTATCTTCTCAAGTAATAAGGCATTTTGTTATAAGTTCCTAACGATATTGCAGAGGTTGAGTGTAGTTATAGATAGGAGGCCTGGTCGACCAACCGGGCCGTGGAGACGATAAGCCCCGAAATCATCTCATCTCAAGGTAGATACTGAGAACAGTATAACGGATAAGGACCTGGGAAAGTCTTGAATTGTCTCGGGTTTGGTGCACCAAAAGAGGTGAATGAACTTATTCTGCCGACTTATCAAGAAGTAAAGCAGCATTACATCTGGATAATACCTTACATAAAGCCACATAACTCAATAAAATAGCCAACAACTGGAGAAAACTGTAGGTGGTTTAGGTGCTGTTTTAGCCCAACACAAACCTGGTCAACCGGATTCCAGAGTAGTAATTGCCTACGCCAGCCGTTCTCTCACAGATGTTGAGCAACGATACAGTCAGAAATTTACATTACGACTGTCAGAAAGATACAGTCGGTTGCTTTACAAATTGAGAAATTGTAGCTGAAAGTTTAGATTCCAGTGGAATCCACTGGAATTTTGTAAAGACACAATAATCACTACGAAGACTGTTTTTAACTAAATGTTTTCCAACAGAATTTTAGTAATAAAACAATAAATGTATATCAAAAACTTTCAGTCTTGAAAATATTTTCGAACCCAGAAAAAAATAGTGCACATAATACATTTTTTGGGCCAATTTTCTCTCTGCATATATTAAAAGATTTGAGTAGGCTCACTGATACACATTTATCTCACTATTACCTTATTAATATCCCATTACCTCATTAAGGACAATGTATCTCACCTCAACCGCAAATCTACGTAAGTGCGTCTTTTTATATATCTACTATATACATGCCTCACCTGTGACAGGAAAAAACACGCGTTTTTAAAAAAAAAAACAGTGCCATCTGTTGGACGTAAGAGCAACACACACTGTAATTTTCGAAAGTTCTTCACCGATTGCTTTGGAATTTTGACACAACGTTGCATTCGAATAGGTGCGTCTTTTTATATACCTACTACATAGATGCCACCTCTCAGACAGGTAAAAACATGCTTTTTTTGAAAAACAGCGCCATCTGTTGCACATAATAGCAACATGCATGCTATACTAAATATGTCACGAATTCCATCTCAATGTTTCTGATTGCATTGACAAATTTAATTTCATAGATTTCAATTTATTTTCATTTTGATTTAATTATTTTGTGTGACACTGCGTTGGAATTGAGCTGTGTTGTTTACCGTAACGTTCATTTCGTAAGTATAGCTTATTTTTTTTTTAACTGTTTTTATTTAGTTTTTTTTAACAGTTTTTCTTATTTTTACGAACCCGACTCCATCGTCGGAATATGGAGTAGCAACGTCAACGCCATCTGTGAGTCTGCTTCCTAAACCCCTACTAAATGGACGACACCATCTGGTGGTGGCAGTATGATACCTGCAAGAAACCCTAGATTCCAGCCCTGGTCAGCCCGAAGAGTTGCTGTTGCTGACCTCTGGTGAGGTGGCGCCTAGAAAATCAGCGCCATCTATTGTTGGAGGAGTTGTATGTTAATGTCAGAGTCCGTAAGTGGTATTTCCTAGTGTCCCAAGTACTGGCCAGTATACTGATGACGTGTCTGTATCCACAGAGGCGATGTAGGGCTGTGGTGGTACGAAGACAAGCAGTCTACCCCAGGCAGCCTATTATACCTCTTCTCCATTCTGCTTTACGTGAGCAGTGAGCTGCCGCCGCCGAAGAGGAACTGAGGAACTTATGATCTGCTGTCTGTCAGTTAAGTGGCAGTGACAGAATTTGGCGTATCCCGGGACTGGCTGGAGGAAACGACCGGCAGTGAGGTGCTATGGGGGAGTGTAACTAGCTAGTTGCAAGAAGCTCCTGTCAGGGATTCGCTACCCTTGTATTTGTTGTGTTGAGGCCGAGCAGCGCGAGGCTGATGTTCTCTGCCAGCACCAGGCTGGAGAGTGATTGTGGGCGTTCACAAGGAGCACCTAGGGAGGCTGTGTATAGGCTGGCCCATGGCTAGGGTAGACTCGTTGGTGTTTCTCAGTACTGGTTGAGGACGGTACTGTGTTGAGGAAACACGGAAGTTGACAAGGCTGCATTGTATGAGCATCGAGGAGCGCTTAGTGTCCTATGAGAGCGACACATGTGTATATGTCAGTGTAGTAAAATTTCATTTACGATTCTATTTAAGGTGATGGGAAAGTGATATGTGAATATATTGATAATTGATGAGGTGTCGTATTCCTTTCCACTCCCCCTTTGTGTTTTACTTGCATTACGAAGCTCACTCCTTGAAAGCCACTACCGACTTGGGGTTATATACTAGTACTTTGGTTCCTCCAGCAAAGAACCCGGTTGCGACCCATAGTGGCCGTAACACTTATATTTCAGTGATGAGAATATCAAATTATTTGATATTCCCAATTCTCTGATGGGAACATCAGATCATTTGGGAATGCATCGGACGAGGGAGTGGGGGAGGACGAGGGGACGAGAGAGGGGGATGGTGGGGAGGACGACGAGACAGGGAAGGGCTAATTGTGGGGAGGACTAGGGGATGGGGGAGAGGAAATGGTAGGGAGGGCGAGGGGGCGAGGGAGTAGGAGATGGTGGGCAGGGCCAGGGAAGGGGGGGGGGGGAATGGTGGGGAGGACGAGGGAACGGGGAAGGTTGCTGTGGCTCAGCAACGCACATGCTTTCACAACAACGTGTGGCCGGGTACAGCTGGTGTGTGTGTGTGTGTGTGTGTGTGTGTGTATTTATACATATATATATATATATATATATATATATATATATATATATATATATATATATATATATATATATATATATATAATATATATATATATATATATATATATATGTGTATGTTTCAATAAATATGACTGCATATTCTGTATTGATTATTTATTTTCTTGCTCTCATGCTCCCCTGGATGCTACATATCCTCTTCTTCGAGGCCGAGGGTCCCTACAAGCGCAACAAGAGGTGGTACCGACATTATATATATACATGACAAATGATTGGCCTATGCAGTTTTAAGCTGACAAATGTTGGGTTCTTAGCCTAGGTAACAGAAGTAGAATTTATGGAATATCACTTGGACATGCTAAAATATCGAAATGTAAACACGGAAGATAAAATCTGAGGACAGAAGAAAAAACGCAACAAGTAACTCACCGGCAGCCAGGTTGTGGAAGGCGTTGAAGAGGCCGCAGAAAGATGTGATGAAAAATATTCGCCATTGCCACCTGCCGTAGTCTCCCACCTTCCCCAGGAGGGTCTGGAAGGCCTCACTGCTGCACGGTGTGACCTTCTCGCCTGCCTTACCTTCCTCCTCTGTCTGTATCGTCTTCAAGGTCATCATCATCTCCTTTACTGCTCCGTTCATCTCGTTCGTGGCAGCTTCAGTTGCATCTTTCTCTCCCGACATCCTGAAGTATCTAAAGTCTCCAGCGAGCTCAGAAGTGTCCCAATGTTGACAATTATTTATAATAATTCTTTAGCATGTATTTTATAACTGTATGACTTTGCTTAAGAGTTAGTTGCACCTTCAATTTCTTGTCATTTTGTGTCTGGCTTCCTCACTCGTGTTGCGTTTCTTCCCGTGTTTATAGTGAAGAAAACCTGTGGTAAACGAGGGCGATTAGTCAGGGTCATTTTAATGGAGTGCGACTGTCAATGACTCTCATGTACACCTTGAAGTATTAAGGTTGTGTGTGCGTGATTGTTACATAGAGTACACAACAAACTATTTACTCTCGTTAGTTCCTTTCATGGTTTGATTTTAGTAATTAATCCTGAGGTATACAGGGGTGTACAATCATTAGATGTGCATGGTATATAATCGTCAGATGTACAGGGTGCACAATCATGAGGTGTACAGTCATGATATGTACAAGGTGTACAATTATGAGGTGAACAGGATGTACAATCATGATATGTACAAGGCGTTTAATTATGAGGTGTACAATCATGTGTACAAGGTGTACAATTATGAGATGAACAGGGTGTACAATCATTAGATGTACAGGGTGTGCAGTCATGATGTGTACAGGGTGTACAGTCATGATGTGTACAGGGTGTACAATCATGAGGGGTGCAGGGTGTACAATCACAATGTGAACAGGATGTACATGGTGTACAATCAACTCAGGAACAAGGATGAAGGTCGAGGCAACTCTTGGCAAAAAAATTGCATTTGCTCAGTGGACTTCATCACCTGAACAACGATATTTAACTGCTACGAAAATGTTATAATATGCAAGTCACGTGAGGAAAGAAAGATGGGGTGATTGTCTTGAATGTATACAAGGCAGAGTAAATATTATTGTAACATAGAGCATAAATGTCTACTTTTTTTTTTTTTTGAGATATATACAAGAGATGTTACATTCTTGTACAGCCACTAGTACGCGTAGCGTTTCGGGCAGGTCCCTGGAATACGATCCCCTGCCGCGAAGAATCGTTTTTTCATCCAAGTACACATTTTACTGTTGCGTTAAACAGAGGCTACAGTTAAGTATTTGCGCCCAGTAAATCCTCCCCGGCCAGGATACGAACCCATGACAGCGCTCGCGGAACGCCAGGCGAGTGTCTTACCACTACACCACGCAGACTGTAAACCACTACACCACGGAGACTACTAAGATGCTCCCACCTTCTGTGGTATACATTTGACTAATGATGTTTAAAAAGCCAATCCAATTTTAAGGGTTTTGTCTTCTTGGCTTCAGTTCATATGCTTTGAAATTTGTTAAATAAACTTATTTCAGAAACGAGAAAAGAGTCTCGGGCATTAAACCAAAGCACGTCTGCCAGGCTGCTTTCAATAATAAAAATCATGCTGAAAAGTGTAGTATATGTGTGTATATCCACCTTATTGTTAAGTTTAATAATCTGTCTGTGTCGTTGATAAAGAACGGAACAGCGACCGTATTTGCACTGCCATCGCCTCGTTGAAGAATAATGCTAAGCCACGCAGCTATCTACAGAGCGTCGGTGGAATCAACTTTCCTCTGCAGCAGGTAAAAAATAATCCATATTTTCGGCGTCAACCCCCAGACGCCACCCTGGCCGGCGTCGACCCCCAGACGCCACCCTGGCCGGCGTCAACCCCCAGACGCCACCCTGGCCGGCGTCGACCCCCAGACGCCACCCTGGCCGGCGTCAACCCCCAGACGCCACCCTGGCCGGCGTCGACCCCCAGACGCCACCCTGGCCGGCGTCGACCCCCAGAAGCCACCCTGGCCGGCGTCGACCCCCAGACGCCACCCTGGCCGGCGTCGACCCCCAAAAGCCACCCTGGCCGGCGTCGACCCCCAGAAGCCACCCTGGCCGGCGTCGACCCCCCAGACGCCACCCTGGCCGGCGTCGACCCCCAGAAGCCACCCTGGCCGGCGTCGACCCCCCAGACGCCACCCTGGCCGGCGTCGACCCCCAGAAGCCACCCTGGCCGGCGTCGACCCCCCAGACGCCACCCTGGCCGGCGTCGACCCCCAGACGCCACCCTGGCCGGCGACTGTCAGACGCTTCGCTCACAGGACTAACTGGAACCCTTTGTTTACAACCTGAGGCCACACGAGATATAAACATTATGTGTATTTTGAACTTTGGGGATTTCAACAAAATTCGTAGCTTAATGGCAGAATCACAAAGCTACCATTACCTAAGACTAAAAAGCTCTAGTCCAGTTGGGCAAAACGCTGGACATCTTCCAGTGACGGTCACTGTAGATGTAGCCAGACGCCAGGCGTGTTCCGAAGACGGACACATGTCAAGAGCCCACCAGACTCCCGCCTGCCTCTAGCACCAGACAGCCAGGCCAGCGGGGGACAACCTTCCCCGCCCTGAGGACAAAACATCAACATTCTATCAACTTCCTTATTTTCCCAGAGAACCGTGCACCAGGCGGGACATTATTGCTGGATGATGAAGAAGGAGACCTCAAGGCAGCATCGAAACTTCTCCCATATTACTATATTCAAACTAATACTTTTGAATGTCTGTTATGAAGGTCTTGAACTAAAGGTGGTAAGGGAATTATGAAGAGAGTGAACTTGAGGAGTGGTTATGTCGGACAATGTTCATTAGGCAAAGCTATTTGTTATCCGGTCGTCAGATGGCGTCTCAGGGTGTGTCCTTTGTATATTATAGTGGCACCGTCCCCTAGCACGTTTTCTGTCCCCCCTGCCACCGTCCCCTAACACCTTTCCTGCCATCGTCCCCTAGCACCTTTCCTGCCACCGTCCCCTAGCACCTTTCCTGTCCCTTGCCACCGTCCCCTAGCACCTTTCCTGTCCCTTGCCACCGTCCCCTAGCACCTTTCCTGTTATCGTCCCCTAGCATCTTTCCTGCCACCGTCCCCTAGCACCTTTCCTGCCACCGTCCCCTAGCACCTTTCCTGCCACCGTCCCCTAGCACCTTTCCTGCCACCGTCCCCTAGCACCTTTCCTACCACCGTCCCCTAGCACCTTTCCTGTCCCTTGCCACCATCCCCTAGCACCTTTCCTGTCCCTTGCCACCGTCCCCTAGCACCTTTCCTGCCACCGTCCCCTAGCACCTTTCCTGCCACCGTCCCCTAGCATCTTTCCTGCCACCGTCCCCTAGCACCTTTCCTGTCCCTTGCCACCATCCCATAGCACCTTTCCTGTCCCTTGTCACCGTCCCCTAGCACCTTTCCTGCCACCGTCCAATAGCACCTTTCCTGCCACCGTCCAATAGCACCTTTCCTGCCACCGTCCAATAGCACCTTTCCTGCTACCGTCCAATAGCACCTTTCCTGCCACCGTCCCCTAGCACCTTTCCTGCCACCGTCCCCTAGCACCTTTCCCGTCCCTTGTCACCGTCCCCTAGCACCTTTCCTGCCTTCAATATTATGTGAAGGAAAAGTGGACTCAACGAAAAAACCTGCGAGGGGAATATGGTAAATGGAGTGAGAATTGGGTTGGATTGAGAATGTTGAAGGATAGTGTATAAGGGGCGAGTGACAGGATAGCGACGGACAGCATATTGACCTGACGTAGAGCACCAGCTGACTGACCGGTCCTTGTTTTCTGAGGGATTTCTCCGGCTGAATCATAAGATAAGCCACAGTGTTGTATTAACAGGGTTGCAAGGAAGAGTACACGGAGTGCCAACTGAGCAGTTTCTGTGTCCAGATTTCCTAGGGATTTATATGTGTCACAGGCTGACAGAGGTAGTGCTGGAGTGCACAATTCCAGTATTAGACTAAGAGATATATGGGGACCCAGAGCCCGATTGGGAGAGAAGATACAATGTTGTATTCCTTCTGAATGCATTGATGTATAAGAAATGAATTATGTTATGTTATGTCATGTGTGTTTTATAAATATACATCTGTGTCATATATCCACTAGGTTGCTTTTCTATATTTTGAATTCTCATTGACATAATTAAGAACCTTATTCCCCTGGAGACAATAAAGTACAGGACTAGTACGTGACTGAGACCTCAGCCAGTGTGTAGCTGAAGACCTCAGCCAGTGTGTAGCTGAAGAGAAGAAGGAAATACCGGCAGTCTGTTAAGGTTTGTTGTAAGCCTGTGTGGAGTACTGCCCAGCGTATTGCTGGAGACCTCTGCCAGTGTGTTGCTGGAGGCCTCTGCCAGTGTGTTACTGAAGACCTCTGCCAGTGTGTTGCTGGTGACCCCTGCCAGTGTGTTGCTGTAGACCCCTGCCAGTGTGTTGCTGGAGACCCCTGCCAATGTGCTGCTGGAGACCTCTACCAGCGTGTTGTTGGAGACCCCTGCCAGTGTGTTGCTGGAGACCCCTGCAAGTGTCTTGCTGGAGACCCTTGTAAGTGTGTTGCTGGAGACCCCTGCCAATGTGTTCCTAGAGACCTCTGCCAGTGTGTTGCTGGTGACCCCTGCCAATGTGTTGCTGGAGACCTCTGCCAGTGTTTTGCTGGAGACTTCTGCCAGTGTGTTGCTGGAGACCTCTGCAAGTGTGTTGCTGGAAACCACTACCAGTGTGTTGCTGAAGACCCCTGCCAGTGTGCTGCGGTAGACCACTGCCTGTGTGTTTCTGGAGACCAGTGCCTGTGTTGCTGGAGACCCCTGCCAGCGTGTTGCTGGAGACCTCTACCAGTGTTGCTGGATATCCCTGCCAGCGTGTTGCTGGAGACCCCTGCCAGCGTGTTGCTGGAGACCCCTGCCAGTGTTGCTGGAGATCCCTGCCAGTGTGTTCCTGGAGACCCCTGCCAGTGTTGCTGGAGACCCCTGCCAGTGTGTTGCTGGAGATCCCTGCCAGTGTGTTCCTGGAGACCTCTGCCAGTGTTGCTGGAGACCCCTGCCAGTGTGTTGCTTTAGACCCTTGGCAGTGTGTTGCTGGAGACCTCTGCCAGTGTTGCTGGAGACCCCTGCCAGCGAGTTGCTGGAGACCCCTCCCAGTGTGATTCTGGAGACCCCTGCTAGTGTGTTTCTGGAGACCTCTGCCAGCGTGTTGCTGGAGACCCCTGCCAGTGTGTTGCTGGAGACCCCTGCCAGTGTGTTGCTGGACACCCCTGCCAGTGTGTCGCTGGAGACCTCTGCCAGTGTTGCTGGAAACCCCTGCCAGTGAGATGCTGGAGACCTCTGCCAGTGTGTTGCTGGAGACCACTGCCAGTGTG